GCGCGCAGCAGATAACCTCAGGAGCCCCCCGCTGTCGTCCCCCACGCACGTCCGCGCACATGCCACATAATTGCCATAGATCATCTTCACACCCTCCTCATTGTGCACACACCGCACATTTACACGATTCGCCTTCACACACACACACACACACACACACACACACACACACACACACACACACACACACACACACTGACCGCCTGGGTAGTTGGTGTTGCGAATGGTGGTGATGATTTCGTCCCTGGTATTGGAGAGGACATAGCTGAAGTCGAAGATTTCCGTCACGCTTGACGAGTACACCATGAGTGCAACACGCGTGGTGTCGGGCGAAACGTCGAAGAACGAGGTGACGGTGGCGGTGAACTGGCGCATGGTCTCAAAGTTTGAGGAGCCAATGGACCCGGAGCCATCGAGGATGAAGAGCAGGTCGACCGCGCTTCGGCCGCAGTTGACGTTTGGCACGCTGACGTTGACGTAGCTGCCCTGGCCCGGGATGGCGACGAAATCAAACCCGGCCTCGATGCTGCGGTTTGCCAAGTCGGAGAGGAAGTTGGTGAGGCCACCGTTGTTGAGATACCGCATGTGCAGGCCACGGCCAATGTCGGTGAGCTCCGGCGGGCGGGTTGGGTTTGTGGGGCGTGGGGCGAAGCCTTGCACAATGACGATGGTGTCGGGGGTATCCAAGGCCAGCGACGTGAGCTTCTCCGCCAGGTATTCCGTCATGAGGCGGAACGTGCTGCTCGCAAACGTCACTGGACTCGACGTACCCTAAAACAAAGTGAAAGCGGGAATTTAGGGGGGAGGGATGTCGGTGTGCGTGTGTGTGTGTCAGTGTGTGTCAGTGTGCGTCAGTGCGTGTATGTGTGCGTGTGTGTGTGTTAGTGTGTCAGTGTGCGTCAGTACGTGTATGTGTGCGTGTGTCGATAGCTGCTGTGATATTTTGAAGCTCAAAGCAGTGGAATGATTCGTGCGTCCAACGACACACTCACAACACACAACACACACACACACACACAACACACACCCTCACTCACTCACTCACTCACTCTCCCACCCACCCTCTCAATCACTCTCACATGCAAACGCGCAGTCGCAGGCAGCCATGCGTTTTTTGGGGCCACACCGTGGAGTTGAGGTAGAACTCCTCAAAGTCGATGAGCGCGTTGTACTGTGCTGTTCCCAGGTCAATGTAGTCCACAGCGGTTCCAGACACCTGCGCTTCTGTGCTCCCGTCCGGGTACCACTCGCCAGGAAGCAGGGCGTACGTGCTTGTCGTTGCGGTGGCCACCGCCAGGAGGATGGCCACCCGCGCGAGCGTTGCAATCTGCATCTTGTGCTTGTTCTGCAACACACACACACAGGCAGGGGGAGACAGGTCACACCGATCAAAATGAGGGCATGGAATGACACAAGAAGGGAGCCGAGCACAACGACACATGGCGGCGACTGATGTGTTTGGTGTTCATACATCCTACATGCGGCGCCGGGAACAAATAAGCCCAAAGTAACTACAGCCACAGATGAGCGTCGGCGAAGACATGCGAGTGCGACCAACACCCAAGCTCGGTGCAGTCGTCAGCGTGCAACACCGCCTCAAAACCAAAACGCACGCCCACACACACGCACCTCTTCGCTTGGCGTTGGCTATCTGGTGAATGGGAAAGTGCGCACTGAGGAAAGAAGAGTTCTGCAAGCAAGCAAGCACAAGCAACACAAGCAGCAACAATTATTATTTTTTATTTGGTGGGCGTTGCCGCTGCTGAATTTTATTGAAGGTAAACACGAAACATCGCGCGACCAATTCAAACGCGCAAAAGTGCGAGCGGTGGGAGTGATGACTGTTGACATGGCTGTTCTTGGTCTCCTCTTGCTTCTTGATTCAAGCTGTGCATCAACCCACAATACATCACAGCTACAGTGCCCGTGGATGAGGGTGATTGAGGCACAGTCAAACACACGCACGCACACACACACACGCACGCGCGCACACACACACACACACACGATGATGCGGTGAGTCCTACACTACTCTCCCTCCACGACCATGTCTCTCTCCTATCTAAAACCTATTTGGACCAGGCCTTCTTGAGCTTCTCGCCAAGGTACAGGAGCGACCTGGAGATGCCTGCAGAGAAGAGGCCCTTTAAGCTCTGCGTCAGGCTTGAGCGGGAGATGATGCGTTTCAATGCGGGCCGGATCTGCGGCTCAAGCGGCTTTGTCGTGTCAAGGCTGTCAGAGAATGAATGATGGTGGCGGTGAGGGGTGGCAGCGGTGATGAGGGGTGGGTGGAAGTGAGGTGGTGTTCGAAAGAGATGGGCGGCTTGTGTAGTCACGAAGACAATGAAACATTCACGCAGTTCACACACACACACACACAGACACACAGACAGACAGACAGACAGACAGACAGACACACACACACACACACACAGACACACACACACACACACACAGACAGACACACACACACACACACAACTGACTGTTGTTGAAGGGTTAGGGGCAGACGGTTAACAATTTGTGGCGAAGGGAGTCCAGAGAGCGGGTTCTGAAGCAGTGAATACTCCCCTGTGGCGGAGAGCTGCACACAGGCATGTAATTGTGTGTAATTGTGGTGTGTATGTGTTATGTGGGTGGTTATTACTCACATGTGCGAACGAAGATGTGTAGATGTACCCATGAAGACGACATGACACGTGAGTGGTTTGTACGTTGCTGGGGACAGAACAATGGGAGAGGGGCAAATGGTTGATGTGACAGGGTTCCAAGGGGGAGGGACAACTCACCAGAGTGCAGTTGAGCTCGGCCAGGGCAGCCGCATACAAGGCACGGAAGTTGTCGAAATTGCCCTTGACAATGTTGAACGCCTGCATGACAAGCGCATGTGTGTGTGTGTGTGTGTGTGTGTGTGTGTGTGTGTGTGTGTGTGTGTGTGTGTGTGTGTGTGTGTGTGTGTGTGTGTGTGTGTGTGTGAGTGAGTGCGCGCGCGTGTTCGCGCATTGAACAAGAGACAAGGAACAGCGAACAGCTGCAGGCCGGGCAATGGAGCTGGGGGATTAGCACACACAAACACATCGATTCAGATACAGCACACAACGCAGCACACAACGCAGCACACATGCACACACACACACACACACACACACACACACACACACCTTTCCCTTTCGTTCTGCAAGAGCCATGCGTACATCCCCCGTGTAGGAAAGGGAGGCGATAGTGTGATACAGCTCAAACTGAACATCAGAGCGACACAAAACCACGTTTCAGCGATGATAAATGACGGTCGTGATGACATGAGCGTCGCAGGTGGCAGCAGTGAACACACACACACACACACGCACACACACACACACAACGTGGCACACAACATTACAACAGCGCAGCGGGAACAAAAACGTCTGTGTGGGCATGAATCACACACACACACACACAAATATGATGTAGGTGTACCTCGTTGAATTGGGGCGGGAGCAGACAGCACGCCGTCAGGACAGCAAACCTGTGGCACGAAGAATGAGGTGTGAGGGGGGGGGGGGAGAAGGGTGGTGGTGGTGGTGGTGGTGCATCATTCGCGCATGCAAAGGAGGATTGTGGAGCAGTTAACTAGCTGAGTTGGACCGGAAGACAGTCAAAAAACGTACGTGGCCAAGCAGCTAGAGACGCGCAGAGACACATATGCACAGATGTACATACACACACACACGCACACACACATACATACATACATACATACATACATACATACATACATACATACATACATACATACATACATACATACATACATACATACACACATACACACACACACACACGCAGACCTGAGGTTGTGAATGAGGGCCTGCTGCAGTTGATAGGTTGGCACAGGCGTGAGCATGGCAACGGGCTTGTGTAAGCGGCCACTCACATACAGCGTGTCCCACATCTGCAAGTCGCGTTCCATATCGGCCACGGTAATGACCCCGTACTTGGCCAGCTGTGATGGGCATGGAAGACAAGCGCAGGGTGGCCCAGTGCGCGGTCAACACAGGAAGCATAAACACGACCGCAAACACACACACACACGCCAACTCGGTTGTGAACACACAACGCGAGCGCGAGCAGGATTAAAGGCTCACTGACACGCGGACGCACGCAAGCAAAGGTCACATCACACATACACACACGTACAGACAGACACAGTGGCACACACAAAGACACGCACAGGCACACACACACACACATACACACCTGGTCGCCAAAGGTGACAAAGGGGTGGTAGTAGATGGAGGCGCCCGTCTTTGATTGTATGGAGGCCACAGCCGAGGCGCCAAGGGCTCGTGCATAGTATGGGTAATGATGGGGATTCCTTTGCATGTTCTCGCGATGGAACGCCTCTGCATCATCCACTGCCACAATCACATCCAGCATGGTGTTCTGTACATGGTGGCAAACATGCGCATATGCGTGTGCACGTGTGCATGTGTGTGTGAATGTGTGTGCATGTGTGTGTGTGTGTGTGTGTGTGTTTGTGCGTGCACATGAGTGCATGTGTGCACGTGTGAGGTAAACACAAGGATCAATAAGCTGCACAGATACAGCGATGCACGTACGTCAACACACCAAAGCGTGCATTCAAGCACACGCGCACGCGTACTTTGGTGTAGATGTGGTCGTGTTGCCTGAAGGCGCTGGAGCCATAGGCAAACGCGAAGGCCACCTTTGGCAAGTGCGGCAGAATCACATCGTCCAGGTTGGCCGACGATAGCCGCCTCCTCTGAACTAAACTACACACCGCAGGCGCTCGTGCTTCTGTTGCTGCTGCTGCTGCTGCTCCTCCTCCTCCTCCTCTTCTTCGACCACAGTGCACGGCATCACTCACCCACCGACACTGCCTCGTCCTCAACAGCACCCTCATCGTCATCGTCATCGTCATCAGCACCCTCGTTGTTGTCTCACAAATCGCAATGCGCCAAAAGCAACAGCGCAACACAAACAAAGATGAGCGGCAGCGACCGTGATGAGGAGGACAGCGGTGCCGACCCGACGGCTGGCGGGAACGGCGTGGCACTGCCGTTGTTGCGTGGTGAGCAAGGGCAAGAGTGGTACTCTGAACGCATCCAGGAGCAGCTGGACATCAACCAAACGCTTCTTGAGGTCAGCGTTCTATGTATGTGCTTGTATACTTGTGTGTGTGTGTGTGTGTACGTGTGTGTGTGTGTACGTGTGTGTATGTGTGTGTGTATGTGTGTGTGTGTGTGTGTGTGTGTTCGTACTTGTGCTTGTGTGCCCCTCCCGCTTTCTCAAGGTCCACTCACAGTGACTGACTCCCTTTTGGTGGCCGTTCGCGACTCCAGAACATGGTGCAGCGTGTGCAGCGCGGCGCCTTCACCGACATATTGACGTGAGTAGGATTGCGTGTGTTGCGAGCACCACTTTGTGTGTGTGTGTGTGTGTGTGTGTGTGTGTGTGTGTGTGTGTGTGTGTTGCCACTCATGGAGTTGCTCTTCTCACTTGTGCTGACGCCTTTAACATTCAGGGCGGCCAAGGTGGCGGAGCAGCACATATCCATGCTGGCATCCTTATCGGATGACATCAAACTGCAATGCTTGGAGGTGCGTGCGTGCGCGCACGTGTGTGTGCGTGCGTGTGTTAACTGCTCCATTTCACGTGTATTGGACACTTGTGTTACCATCATGTGACCGACGGCTCTGTTTCTCTGGTTCACCTGTGCCTACATGTCACCGTAACCGCCACAGGCTGACGCGGCAGGCAACCACAGTGAACACACAGTGCAAGCAGCCGAGAGCGGACGACAACAACAACAACAACAACAACCGCAACAACCGCAACAACAGCCGCAGGATCAGCCATTCCAACCATTTCAACAGCAGCAGCCTCGGAAGCGACGGGTTGTGCCGCGACAAGTGACTCCGTCAGACGGCGCCCAGTCCTCGACACACGCGGCGTTTGACGTGGCAATACAACCTGGCCCGCCGCAGCCATGACAAGCGGCATCCAATCCACAACTAGGCCAGATCTCATTGGCAGCGTGTGTGTGTGTGTGTGTGTGTGTGTGTGTGTGTGTGTGTGTGTGTGTGTGTGTGTGTGTGAGATGAACTCGCAACCACATTGACGTGTATGGGCCGTCGGTGTGGTACATCCATGTCACATGTGTTGTGTTGCGTGTCCTCATGCTTGGCTAATGTTATGTTTTGAACGACTTCTATATTTGAGTCAACGGTAGCACAAGTACCATCCACTCCAACTCCTCCCTTCAACAATCAGACAGCGAAGACAGCAGCAGGCAAGAGGGACAACACACAACACACACACACACACACACACACACACACACACACACACACACACACAGACACACAGACACACACACACACACAAAACACACACACACAACACACACACACACACAGAGCTATCTGTCTACTCGCTTGCAGCTTCAAATTGGCGCCCGTGCGTCGCTCACATGGGCAGCTGGCTGCCGCCCAGCCTGTCCAGGAACTGTGTACGTTGTGAATGTGTGTGTGTGTGTGTGTGTGTGTGTGTGTGTGTGTGTGTGTGTGTGCGTGAAGGAGGGACACGCGCCGCCTGCATTGTCGATTGCACAGCGTACGCATGTACCACGGACACAGCCACTGTTACCGACAGCACAACACACCTTGCCAAGCACGGGAACGGAGAAGATGAGGTTGAGGCCCGGTAACCGCCGCAAAAACCCAATGACAACAGGGATGAACCCGCTAATATGTGTGTGGGGGGTGTGCGCGTGCGTGCGTGTGCGACGCAAAGATAAGCTCGGACAATGAGGCGGAGAGGCACACAAGGGCAGCAGCAGCAGCAGCAGCAGCAGAAGCAGCAGTCGCGAATAGAGGTTGAGCAGACAGACACACAGGCAGACAGACAGGCAGACAGACAGACAGACAGACACACAGACACACACACACACAGACACACAGACACACACACAGTCTCTCTCTCTCTCTCTCTCTCTCTCTCTCTCTCTCTCTCTCTCCCTCGCACCAACCGTGCCACCGACCTGAATAAATAGTAGAGGCCAATAGTCTCCACTAGCATGCCGAGGATGGAGCTGATCCACAGGATCATCAAGATGCCCGAGAAGAAGCACACAGAGCCCTGCAGTCCAGCACGGAATTCAACAGGGGATGGCAGTTGTGTGAGTGGTGGCGTTGGCATTGGTGTGAGGGGTTGTGCTGTTGATAACAAAGCTGGCGGACACGGCATGGAGAAGTGGACAGATGCGAGTGCACAAGTGTGAAGGGGGGGGGGGGCACGCGTTGCACAACACCTTTATCTTTTGCGGTGTTGGTTGGAAGAAGAAGGCGAAGGTGTTGGACAGGCCAATGATACATGACAGTCCTGCAACAAACAAGATCTGCGTGTGGCATGACAGTGACCAAGAGAGGGGGTTAAATCGGTGGGCAACATGTCGTGGCAAAGAGACACAGCGAGTGCATGCAAACATAGACAGACAGACAGACAGACAGACAGACAGACAGACAGACAGACAGACAGACAGACAGACAGACACACACACACACACACACAGCGTACGTTTCCGATGGCCAGGAGGCCGTGGTCAAAGAAGAGGATCACGCCGAGGAAGAGGAAGAATATGCCAAAGCCCGTCAGGCCAATGCCAATCTCTGCAATGGAAACGGAAGACGAGAGCCAAGATGAGGGGCCATGGGTTGCATTGAACAATCTCAAACCACACACACACACATGTGTACACACACACACACACACGCACACATGTGTGTACACACACACACACACACACACACACACACACACACACACACACACACACACACACACAAACACAAACAAACACACATACACACATACACACATACTTTGGAGATCGGTGAGCATGGTGTCGTTCTTTGTGTGTTGCTGCAACCACCGCACACACTCGCGCTCTCACACTGCAACAAGCGAACTCACACAACTCGCTGCACCACGTCTGCCTCACACGCTATCACACCAACCCTTGCTTCACTTGCTCGCTCACTCAACCACTCGTGGACACAAGCTGCTGTGGTGTGTGGTTGTTGTTGGCTGTTGCTGTTTTTCTTGTGTGTGAAAACCGTTTTTGGCACAGGAAGGACAGCAGAGAAAGCGACACAACAAGCAAGGAGGAAGCATGTCTGTGGTGACGGTGCAGCTGGGGCAGGCTGGCAATCAGGTACCCACGCAGTGGTGCTTGGGGGGGGGGGTGGCGTGTGTGTGTGTATGTGCATGCGTGCTTGTGAATGGCAGCTCACACAGACCCGTCGCTCGTGATGCCGCAGGCCGGACATGCCATGCTGCAATGCATGTGGGATCATCATGCGAGCCAAGCAAGCAAATCCGACAGCGTTCACCGCTTCTTCCGGTGCGCCTGCATGTGCGCGTGTGTGTCAGTGATTGGCTGCGCTCGGCCCACGCTCCCTTGGCCTTCGCTTGGCTCACGTCCACTCGTTCGTATACACACACACACACATGCGCGTGTGTTGCGTCCTCTTTTGCTCGTCTTGGTTGCTCTGCAAGGGAATCGAAGCGCTGTGGCGGCTGCCACGTCGCACGTGCCATCTGCGTGGACACCGAGTCCAAGGTCATCTCGCACATTAACGAGATGCAGCACCAGGCCCCAAAGTCGTGGACTTATGACCAGGTCAGCACGTTGTACATTCACCAGCCCACGCACTGCAACCTGCACAAACACAGAAGAGAGAGAGACACACACACATGCACACACACACATGCACACACACACACACATACACACACAGACACACACACACACAGAGACACACCACACACGCAAACACTCGTACGACCAACATGCACATTTACACTGGGTGCCGCTTGCTTTTGCTGTGGCCAAAGGCGCGTACGCTGTTCACAAAGAGGGGGGCGGGAAATAACTGGGCCAATGGGTACTACAACTACGGGCGCGCCCACGTGCCAGACATTGTGAATATGATCCGCTTGGAGGTGCGTCCGAGCGCAACACCTCTGTGTGTGTGTGTGTGTGTGTGTGTGTGTGTGTGTGTGTGTGTGTGTGTGTGTGTGTGTGTGTGTGTGTGTGTGTGTGTGTGTGTGTGTGTGTGTGTGTGTGTGCACGGTGAGAAGAAGAAGGTGTGTCGAAGATAGAGGCCCTCCGTGGCTTCTTGGCGTGCTGTGACGGATGCTCACATGTGGTCGGGCTCCCTGTGGTGGATGTGAAGATGGAGGCGTGTGATCTTGTGGAAGGATTTTCTATTCTTCAGAGTGTTGCTGGTGGTACGGGGTCCGGGCTTGGCGCTGCTGTCTTGGATGCGCTTCAAGACGAATTTCCCCACGTGCCTTCGTGGGCCAAGGTGTGTGTGTGTGTGTGTGTGTGTGTGTGTGTGTGTGTGTGTGTGTGTGTGTGTGTGTGTGTGTGTGTGTGTGTGTGAGTGTGTGTGTGTGTGTGGCTTTGTGAGTGTGTGTGTGTGTGTGGCTTTGTGTGTGTGTGTGTGTGTGTGTGTGTGTGTGTGTGTGTGGCTTTGTGTGTGTGTGTGTGTGTGTGGCTTTGCTTTTGTGTGTGTGTACCTCTCTCTCTCTCTCTGTATGTGTGAGGCTGTGTGCACTTTTGTGCATGTATGTGTCTCTGTCTGTGAGCTGTGAGTCTGTGTTGTACATGTACCCACATGAACATCTCTGTGCGTGTGCGTGATACGTGTGTGTGCATATCTCCATGCACATGTATTGTTACTTCAATGTCGCTCACTTCATTTCACAATGGCACCCCATACTCGATTCGTTGCAGATTATCTGGCCACATGAGACGGGCGAGACTGTTGTGCAGAGCTATAACTGTGTATTGTCCATGGCGCACGCCTACCAGGCGAGTCTTCAGCCATTCTACACACTTGTGTGTATGCCATTTGTGGCTTCTACCGCCCGTTGCAATGAAGGGCATTGGTGTGTGGTCGGGCCTATGCGCGCACGGATTGGCAGCATTGTGCATGGTTGACGACATAGCTCTGCCATGCTCTTCCTCACCATCCGAACACACACACACACACACATACACACACATACACACACATACACACACATACACACACACACACCTGGCGTGGCGCCGCGTGTTGATGTGGCTAGGCGTGCGACGGCATATTGTTGTTTGAGAATGACCACTTGCAGGACATATGCCACCGCATGCTCCGATTGAAGCGTGTCACTGTTCAGGATCTCAACAAGGTACACACTTGTGTGTGTGTGTGTGTGTGTGTGTGTGTGTGTATGCACGTGTTGTGCGCTTCCGTGTATGTCTGGTTATGTGTGAATTTATTTGCGTGCGCTTGGTCCTGCTACATGTTTTGTGCACGACTCTCCCTCGGTTCGAGCAAGCGTTACGTTTCGTGCTCTACCCCATACACTGTCACCACCACACCCACGTTTGTGGCTTGCGTGTCACGTGCTTTTCCACTTTAGGTCATTGCACAGCAGCTGGTTGCGGCGCTGTCATGTACACGCGAGGCCTCACTCGACGACTTCAGCCAGGTATGTCATTGCACAGCGTGGGTAGGGGGACGGCAGAAGTGGAGATGTGTGTTGTTGTTGTTGTTGTTGTTGTTGTTGTTGTTGTTGTTGTTGTTGTTGTTGTTGTTGTTGTTGTTGTGTG